GACACGTTGCTTCCCAAATCTGCAACACTTGGACCTTCGACATCTTCTCAATGTTTCCGGTCTCGGACTCAGAAGGCGAATCTGAATCGTCAACTACTGTCCACTCCCCATCAATCAAAGGGTCAGAGTCGGCTTCATCTTCTTCGAGCAAACGCTGCAAGAATGAAGAACCCTTCGGGTGGTTCTCCAGTGGTCTCGCAGGTGAGCCTGAACTCGTTTTGAAAAGGCATGCACAGATGGCAAAGATCACACTGCCGGCCACGGGAACTGACCAGCCATCTCCTGCAAATCCAGCTTGGGGAACAACGAGGATTTTGATAAATGTGCAAAAGCAAAAAGGAGCTGACCTTCTACAATAATACACTGCAAAATGTCACGGTGCTACTAGCGATGGCCTCGAACCTAAAGCGATGGCCTCCTAGCGATGCGATGGCCTCGAACCCACCCCGGCGCAGGCCACTCGCCTGCGATGAGGTTCAGGTCTGAGTAGGAAAAGGTTGCTTCTGAGTCGCTGCCCAGGTTGAGCTTTGCAATGTCGAAGCCCTGGACTCCCAGGAGGTCCTGCAAATATTACAAGGTGTCCACGCACTGAACCTACTTGATGCTCAACAAACTGACACAAAGTCGAGCGCTAGGCTATATTTATATAAATTACTATAAATTATCATAATTATTATCATCTTATAATATCACCTCATCATCTCATCTTACAATCAACTGAAAGGCACTTGCAACAGGTCCTCTGCGGTCAAGAAACTCTTGGACTGGTAGTCCCAGATCTTCACAAATGTTGTCACCGCGCTAAGTCGTCCATGGTGTGAGTTTGCATGTCGCCGGACACTACCTCACCAAAGTCTTGTTGATTGAAAAACTCAAAAGTTTCTTCAGGTCCCACCCACAGCTTTAGGCTTTAAACTTTGCTTTTGTAATTTATATAACACAAATCGTGGCAACGGACTCAAAAGAAATTGAAGACAAGTGCGCCAGATCGGAAGTGCAGAAATCGGCCTCCGGCTTGTACCCCTGTGCCTGAGAAGCTGTACGTAAAAAAAGGATATAGCACCGCTCAAAAATCCAATCCCCCATTTTGAACTGCTTCTGGAATGCTTCTGGAGCGTCATCACAAATCTTGTTTTGAGCCCTGAAGGAATGTTACAGTAAAGAGTTTTTCCAGGGGGCTTGCAAGTGAAATTATTCATATTTCATTGAATGCATGTGTTTTCGCTCCTGGGAATGGAGCATTATAACTTGGAGGCCTGACAAAACATTCCTGGACCCAGATCTTATTGAAAACTGAAAGAAACTTACTTATACTTACGCGGAACCCGAAACTCCTGATCTGAGCAACGAGATGATGTCGTAATAGATGGAACCTCTCGAAGTGACCATAAATTAATAAGTTATGATATATATATATATAATATATTGTTTTTTACTTTGTTATACGACTAGACTATACTATACTATTTATATTAAGTTACTTTTTAAAAAATCTAATCTATATATATATATTATATTTATAATATTATAATATATGTTATATATTATATTATTGAAAAACATGGCTACAAGTAACCATCTTCTAGAAATGGTTCAGAACGGTTCCGAACGGTTCCGAACTATTTTTGAGGCAAGCCAGTTTTAATTAGTTCAGAACGGTTCCGAACGGTTTCGAACGATATATTAAAAACACTGTGATATAGTTCAGAACGGTTCCGAACGGTTTCGAACTATATATAACTTATATTGATATATAGTTCAGAACGGTTCCGAACGGTTTCGAACTATATAATGCCCCCGAACTATTCCGAACTATTTGGAACTATTTGGAACTAATCTGAACTAATCCTGGTTTGGAAGTTATATAAAGTTCAGAACGGTTCCGAGCGGTTTCGAACTATTTCTGGAGGTATGACTATAGATAGGTCAGAACGGTTTCGAACGGTTCCGAACTATTTCTAAGCAGCATTGGCTTGAAACTGCATCACCAACATCACCGCTAATCATCTTGAGATTATACAGTATATATACTTTGGGCGACCGACTGGAATGGTATGGTACGAGACTTAAGTGGACAGATTCGTTTCAAAACAAATGTGGAAACCATGGTGTAGTCAGTGTGGTGTGCTAAAGCTTTTGCCCTGCCTATCATATCCTATCGACAAGCCGTTCATGAGTCCCCGACGGCAAAAAACATCTTGGGCCCAGTTACAACGAGTTGGGCGTGCTGGATGTCCAAACTTTGCCGTTCCCGCTTGTTCAAAAGAGCCTTCTGAGCAGTTGTCAGGGAAGACGAATACCCGACCCCAACGTTCAGAGCCCGACACAAGTTGGCCACCTCCCGCTGGCTCGTCTCAGACTGCTTGCCGTCCTGGAGTGTGGCAGCGGCGACAGCGGTGGCAAAATTTAATTAGAGGACTAGAGAAATTTGGAGCTAGGATCGTGGCCTGGCCGCAGTAGGGAGCAAAACATATATGAGTTCTAGCCCTGGGGTCCATTTAAAGAGGCCTAGACAACCCGAAAACGTTGAGAAACAGCTGAGAACTATTTATAACCTAGCCCGAAACCCTACCCCGTCCCCGCGAAAATCCAAACAGGTCGACTGGGTCACGGCGCCCCCAAAAGCTACAAAAATCAGTCCCTGACCCGGTCCTTGGCAACGGGTGGTGGTGTCAAACACATCTCAAAACTCGAAGCGACATTCCGACTATACTGCATGATTTGTTGAAGGCTGATGGGTACTGGCACTAGTGCCTCAGGAAGGACCTCGCGTATGAGATGGCACAACATTGACATCTCTGCATTGTCGCACAAAGACTTGCTGACCATCAGAATGTAGACCCGCGAACGGCTCTGTGGAAGGCCGTACCGGGACGACCTCAAACAGCATATAATTGTCCCGTGTTCCCACTTTTACTGCAAAGTAAAGTAAAGCTTTTGCCGTCCGCTGACTCCAAGCTTTTCGATGTGACTCCATGATTTGTTGGTACATTTCTACAATCTCAGAAGCCTATCTGGAGGAGAAGTGTCCTCCTTTGTCTATGCGGATACTTCGGAATGCTATAGACTATAGCCTATAGTGGAAAATTTACACCACATCAAAAAGAAACACACCTCATTCATTCAACAAACCGATCCAAATTAACAGTGGCAAACGTTGAGTGACATCTCATATAATTATAAGAAGGCAAGAAACTGCATGTAGAGCACTTTTACGTGGTAGCCACCAATGAGCTCAAGGCCTACTGGTTCTTCTTCGCCAGACTCTGTCATCGCGTAGCCCCTCATCATGTACTCGTACGGGTTCTGGCAGAGAGGCGAAGCCAAAAACACAGAGATAGAATCTGGGTCGGAATGGCAGGTCGGTGTAATATCAAGAAAAGGAGTAACATACAGGAGCTTGACTATAAGACAAAATCTAACAAAGATTAGTCGAATTGTATGTCTTATCCCGCTTCCGCTTCTGATCACTTTTTGAAGCTTGGGCACCCTGAATCCTGTGTACGATGTATGTCGCACAGTGCTATTTTTTCACCAACCCGACCTGAGTCAACAAACATGTAACATAACATTGGTTCACCTTTGCAAACTTCATAGGTCGGTGTGATTTCAACATTTCAACAAGACCGCTTTGACACTCAGGCTCAGGTTGTAGACCGCAAAGTATTCAAAATCTTCGTAGCCGCTGTCCGAACAGCATCGCAAACTGGCGGGGCTTGAGAGCTGGAACTGGCTCTGCCAGTTGCCTCGATGATCTTCTCTAGTTTACGGCAAGTCTCAGCGCTCAAGCCTGTGTGCTTGGCGTGCGTGACCAAACAAAAGTGATGGATCCATGCCGGTGGTCTCACTACCGAGTGGTACCATGAAAATCGCACAGTACCTTTGGGAATTTGCTTCTTGCAGGAGAGACAGACAGATCTGGCGCTCACTGCAATGGCTCCCTCTGACAAACCGATTTCCCTAGAAAAATAGCTCGATGTTGCTGCCGCCTTGGCAGAATTCTGCTTCAAGGCTGCAGCTGCCTCGGCTCTCAATTGATCTAATTGTTCGACTTCAGCTTTCAACTCTGGGAAACTTTTCTCTTCCTTGGCAATTGTTGAGGATGCCGGCGCTACCACCTCACTCTCATCATTGGCTTCAATTTCAATGTCCTCCTCTTCACTTGACTCGGACGACTCACTGTTTGCCCCTTCATCAGAGGACCCCACAAGATGTCGAACGACGTTTTCAAAATCTCCCTTTCCTTTGGCAGTCTTTCGTGCTGTCTTGGTTTTTGCCTGAACTTTGATCACTGTTCGTGTCCGAGTTGTTTTTTTTCTCGGCTTGCGATCTGTCAAACCAAAAGGTAGTTTGACAACTGGCTTTGCTCGACGGAACCCTGATTGGGTCAGGCTGAAAGCCGCAACCTGCTTGTCTATGTTTGATTTCAGCTGATCTCTGCCATGCAAAAAGGCTTTGCACTGCCAGACCTCAACTTTCACAATGACCTGGTCGGCTGAACTGGAGGCATCCCGGCAAAACTGAGAGAACAACTGCTGCGAAGTGAGCACCTTGGGAGCACCAAGAGCCAATGCGAGCTGAACCTCATTCACTTGGTTCTCGTCTGTAATGCTCGCTTCAGCCAGCATGTGCACGCTAGGTTTCTTCAGCACAACTCCAAGAAAGCAGGCATGTGATTCGACGCATTGGGCGCTGGAAAAAACAAGCAACATGCCCGGCGTCACCTTGTTCTCAACGAGGTTGTACTTGAAGCACGCCTCCAATTTCCTCACCGACTCAAAACATGGGTCCTTCCGGCATTGGAAGAAAGGACATGGCTCATAGACACTGTGGCCGTGACTTTCACTGCAAATCGGGTCCAAAGAACGGTGCAAAGTCTCGCTGAGATGATTGGACACGTCTTGGTCACTGCTCAAAACATCAATCATCGATGCTCTCAGAGCCCCCTCACCTGGCTTGTCTCAAACGGGAATTCGGAAGGTGTGAAGCAAATGTTCAATTCATAGTACTTTGCCCCCGATGTGGTAACAAACCACGATTGATTCTCCGAATGACCGAAAATGACCCTTAAACTTTTTGCAACTTTTTGCCAAAAGACTGTCTCCATACTGTGTCGGCAAATCCCAAAGTGTATGCGATGCAAAAGCGGACTTGTTGACCAATAAGCGACGGGCAGACCGTTTCTTTGCCCCATTGCGCCAGCAATTCGTAGTTGGATCTTCTTGCTGATTTGATGCACCAGTGGCAGATGGTAGTGGCTGCTGCGACAAGTCATCTAGTCTGTGCTGTTGTTGTTGTGCTTCAATTTCAAACGCATCTCGGTCTTCTTGACTCATGTTGCGCCAGTCCTGACTGATTTGCCGCACCTTCTCTTTGTAATCCACCAGCGACAAGGACATGCCCTCCAGCCGGTGTCTCTGGTAGGCATTCCATCCGCACAACCGTCGAATCTTGCGTTTCTGGGCATGAGCCACTCGCGACTGCTTTTCCTCCATTGTCTCTCTTGTAGTCCGGGTACGTGGTGTCTTTTCACAATCCTGCCAGGGTAGTAAAACAGAGAGGAGAATTGATGGTTGATGATGTTCAAATTTCAATACAGCCCCCCCCCAACAAAAACGTAACCACGCTTTCTGATCATTTCATAGCTGTTTCATAATCATTGAATCATATCATATCATATTATTATAGCTCACCCAAACTGACGTTAAATAAAACGGGTTCATACCACACAGTCTTTTTGCACCAAACTGACTAATTTGACTGCGCAAAAGAGTTCGAATATAAAATATAAAACAATTTGCTGTTGAACTCCCTTGCCTGCTGCCTGTGCTGATTCGAGGAATTGGTTCCCACCATCTTCAATATGCCACTGCTCACACTCTTTTTGGGAAGGGTCTCTGCTCCAACAACCTCCTTGATCCACACGTGCTGCTTAAGTACAGATTGGAGTAGTGTTGTCTCGGTGGCAGACCTCGGGTTCTTGACGCTGACTCGCCCCCTCTTGGACACGGACCATTGGGTTTGTCCGTTTTTCAACTCGACCACGTCAGAAGTCAGAGGAGTAAACCCCGCAATGTCAACCAAGACTTGTTGGATCTCTGCGCAGGCCTTGCTTTGAACATCAATGTGAGCCGAAGCCAGGCCCGAAAAATGATGAAGCCACGCCGCTGTCAGCTGAATGTCCATGCACTGGCAGCATTTGGCAAAGGACTTCTCCAAGTCATCCCAGCGTCTCACAAACTCCTCTGTTGAAAGCCCAATTAAGCCGAAGAGTGTCCAGGGAGGAAACGTGAAGTCATAAACAAATCGGCGCCAAATGTCTGTGCAAATGATGATGACCATTTTGAAGATGTGGTCCAGCCGGGATCCTGTAGCTTCCAACCCCATCTCATTCGCTTCCCAAAGGCCTGAATTCAAGAAGGTCACATACCGGCACATAAGGTGACGTCCAAAGTCCCCGGACACAACCTCCAAGAATATGCGTTTGGTCTTTTCCTGAAGCTCTTGCCCTTGCGGGTGAGCCGCCCCCACAAAAGCCAAGTCATGAAGGCACTTTGTGTGACCTAGCATTTTGTTGACTCCAACTTCCATCGGGTTTATCAGAGCATCAATCACCATGGAGGATTGCTCAAATCCAGGCTTGCAGACCTCCTGGATCATCATTTTTCTGCGCACACTGTTTTGAAGTTGGTAGTTCTGCTGCGCATCCAATGCATCAGCAAGCAAATGCTGGAAATCAGCAGCAGCACCTGATGAGCCCACACCAATGTCAGCAAGCAAGGTGTCCACTAATGTCTCCATGTCTTCATCGAGGTTTCCCGTTGATGCCTCCATGTGCCCAAGTACATTGGGGAGTATCCTGAAGAAGCATGTCGTCAGCATCACAAATGAGCTTGCTGGGCCATAGTGTTTCATCCTGTACAGCAACGGGCATTGGTACCCTCGACAAAGAAATGGAATGCAATGCGACAACCACTTGCAAATAGCCTCAGCATCTGAGGAGCAGCAGTCTGGTCGACCAGACTGTCCGATCAAACAGTAGTGGGTGAGGACTGGTGTGGTGCTGTCCCCATTTGCAAATGCCATAAGCTCAGCTAGCGACTCCTTGGCCTGCTTCGTGTTAGTGATGAAGTTCTCATACAGCCAGTCCGCACGCTTTCTCCACTTTGTCATCTCTTCAGGATACTGAAACACTCTGATGCCTTGGTTGCTCAGAACAATCCCTTGACCCCAGGCCCCGGTGAACCATTTTACAGAGTCTAAATTCAGAGCCTATAAGAAAACCTGTATAAATAATATACGCCGAAAGCGGGTCAGCATACAAGCGCAAATCGTGGCTTGAAGATTTGAAGACAAAACACGTTCGAAATTGCCAGCTTCTTGAAAATACCTCGTTGCTGCAGACGCCAAAGATCGACGGAAGGAATGAAGTTCAAATTGGTGTCCTAGTCGTACCAGGGTACACCAAAACCGCTCGGTGCTTAGCACCGCTGGCCGACGGATAAGGCCAAGTTGATGATTGCAACAACGAATTCTCAGGCCCAGGGTATGGGAAACACTTGAAGCAGCAGTTGAATTTGAACTCTGTCCATTGTTCCGCCCTAGGCTCAACAGAGAGCTTTCCGACTTCCATGCACTGTCATTTGCCTTGAGGGCGTCTCCGACAAAGACCATAGTCCGCCAAGTTGCACGACTCGCCACATTCTTTGCAACACCCAGCCGTGACAAGTGCTCTCCAACTCCACTTGCGCACACTAATAACCATGAAGTGTACGAGGCATGAATAGCAGGAGCTCTCCCAGATGACAAACATTGGATCGGGGTGGGTATGTGTAGGGAGTGCCACGACTCATCTCCAAATCTGACATATGCGGACTGCACTGTATTCATGATAGTGTGAACCACGCTGCGTTCAGAGCCATGTGCTCTGAGAGTAGTGGATGTATCGTCAGCGATACATGTGTTGAGAACGTGTTCCACTGCCTGGTCTTGGGCAGGGTTGAATAAGGATTCCACGATCTTGCACATGCATTGTAAAAAGCTCCATACAGATCGAGCACGCCCCCGACTGAACTGCTGCTTTGGATCAGCATGCTGACCAAAGTCAAAGTCTACACTTGCTCTTTGAGAGAGCTTGTACTGAAACCCCTGAGTGAAATACTCTGACTGCAAACGCTTTGCATACTCACCCCCAGAGTTCGCAGAACCTTCAGGCAGATTGGGTAAACCACTCTGCTTGGCCCTCTTGGCCTTTCCCTCTCTGGCACGTGCTCTTTGGAGTTGTTTCCTCAAGTCACTTACTATGTGTTCGTTTGATTGCTGTCCCTCCTCATCGTTCTCATCAGCCCACAAATCTGAAAGCGGCATGCGCTGCAGCGGATTCACCGATTCACCGATGATGATGTTGGTTTATGTTAAAAATTGGTAATTTATCTTATCGATAAGTAATTGGTAATTGGTAATTTATCTGATCCTTGGTCCTGGGGTCCTGAGTCGCACCCTGCCCTGCTGCATATTTAAAAAGTTGGGATTCGTTTGAAATTTGCTCTCGGTCGCTGTTAGCCACCAATTTCAATGTATAATAATGCAAACTTTGTCAAAACTCAAATAGGGTTTATCATCAATTGTTCCTTTCACACTTGAGCCGCGAGCCATTCAACTGGACACCATCACATTAGTTAGGCGGCTAGGCTAGGCGGCCAGACGGTTCCAAAACACGTGAGCGGATAAGCCCGGACCGGCCTTATATCTCTGGAAGAAGGGGTCTTCGACGCAGCTCTCATCCACAGTGAACTTGTCAAAAATGCCGTACACCTGCCAAGCCGTGTTGATTTGCTTGACGGCCTGCTCGTAACGCTTGAATCATTTGGACATCTGAGAACCTCTGAGAAAAAGTCCCGGGTTGAACCTGATAGACTTTGATCGATTGACAAAAGAAAAGGTCTGAACACGCTTTTCTATGGCCCAAAAGCTTTTGCCTCCTCCAGCATGACTGTAGCTGGACGGAGTCTACCTGGGGCACGGTGTACTGCACACTACAGCTGAGCTTACCTTTCTTCAAGCTGCTCAATTGTGTTACTCTGTTTGCTGTCTGGTTGCGAATTTGTCGTGACACCTTCTCGAAGACCTGCCCTTGAGCGGACAGAAATGGGTTTCGGCCAAGAGTCCGTTTCTTGGCATTGAGACGTGAATACGGCTGACAAGGAGGTCCCACTGTGTAGAGCTGAATCTTGTGGTCCTGACGATGACTAAAGTAGTCCAACACGTGTTAACTCTTTTCCAAACCAACCTGGACCTGGCATGGACCCATGAATCTCTCAGATCGGGCGATGTTCTGAAATACTCTGAAGGCACATGAAATTTTACACTCACAAGGAATCCAATTTGTTTGTCTTGGAATTTGCTCTAATCCCATCATCTCTGATTAAAAAACACAAAACATTTTTTGAGAGGAACCCTGCCTCCTCCAGTTTGCATGTTCGACCATGCAAAGAGCAGAAAGCGCCATCCTCCCCATCAATGTCTGTGACGTCGGAGAAGATGTGTCCAACTGCAATAGAAAAGAGCGTAGCGTCACACTGTCACACACGTCTTCCGCTTCTTATTGAATTAAACAGAGTTTGGCCAAAAAGAAGCCACCCCCAAGTTACTGTCATGTTAATGTTACGTTCTGTTTTTCAAGGTGGTCCCAGCTGCAACCAGGTTGCGGTGAGCTCCAGCATAGTTGGCTTTGATGAAAGCTTGCTTCATTGGGTTCAACTCCAGACAGCATTCCGTGTGAATCGCCATCCCCAGCTCTGCAGACAATTCCCGACTTAGTTGGCCGCTTGCACGGTCAAGACCTTCCAGCCTTTCACTACAAAACCACCGGTGCAGATGCATGCAGTATGTACGTACGCCCAGAACCGCTTTTGGCACGACTTAACATGAACTTGTCAAATCTGCAAAAAAGGCGCCCGATATATGTTCCAGTAGCGCCACCGGCGCATGATTCAAGCATTCTGATCCTGAGCCGTAATTGGCTTGAACATGGGGAATCCGAGAGTTTCAGAGTGAGGTCTTGGGAATGGCTTCGTTTCTACCACAAATCCCCAGCTAGAACAACGACTGAACATCATCTCAAAACGGAAAGAATCTGAATGATATGATACGATACGGTACGATACGATACTGTGACTGATACCGTCTTCTTATGTAAAACTTGAGGCCAGAGGGGGTGAACGAAAGCTAGCCGGGCTTCCGGTGGTCTGCTGCTGGTGCTGCTGCTGCTGGTGCTGCTGCTGCCGCTGCTGCGCTGGGCGCTGCTGCGCTGGGTGCTCTGCAGGCACCGGGTCGTCTGCTGCTGCTGCTGCTGCTGCTGCTGCTGCCGCTGGGTGGTCTGCTGCTGCTGCTGGTGCTGCTGCTGCTGCTGCCGCTGGGTGGTCTGCTGCTGCTGCTGCTGCCGCTGCTGCGCTGGGCGCTGCAGATGCTTGGTGTGCTGCAGCTGCTTGGTGGTCCCGCTCACCGCGCGCAGGGGGGAGTCGAACCGCGGGGGGGGGGGGGGTCCATAAGATTGATTTAATCAATTATTTGAGGTTTCTGAGGTGCGTCCACCCCGTCACTTAACTTGCTAAAGCAAGAGCAACTCCAGCTAGCTAAGGCTAGCTTTCGTGATCACCACATATTTCGCACCGTGGTTCGGCTCCAAAAGAGTGTAGGATTGGTGTAGCCCCAGTGCCTGTCGAAACGCACTTGCCCACATCACAGGCCCAATTTGAGGCAGCTCATACCTGGGCAGGATTGTTTTGGCGGTTGTTGGTTTATGAAACCTGGTGTAGAAAGCCAATCAATTCTCACTCATTCTGAATTCTTTAGAGGGCCACTAACATAAAGAACTTGCCAAAAGCAGCAACATCCAGCGAGCATTGACCAAACAGGCCAAGACTTGTTGTTTGTATTGCTTTTTCCTGTGATTCCTGTGTATATTATATAGTCGTCGAGTCATAGTCTCATATTATAATAGAATCTTTGGTCCCCCAAATTCGCACGGCCCAACACCTTTAGCAAGCAAGTTGCTCCTGATACTGAGATTCCAATTTTCCGCTGGAATCAGCCATGGCGAGCACTGGCAAAGGTTTTGTCCAGCTAACCCCAAAAAGAGCCACACCAAACAATATCCAATGGTCTTGCCTACTTGAGAGGCATCAAAGTTCCTGACCCTCAAAAATAAAGGCTCCACATTCAAGCTGGCTGCAGGCAGAGCGAGCGGGATGCGACCAGCAATCGGGACACGAATTCAACTAAGTAACTAAGTGCACCTACAACCTTTGTTGTTGCACTTGCCGCCTTGGCTTTGGTGGTGGTGGGGGTGGAAGAAGCTGCTTCCTTTTGTGTGTGGCTTTGGGAGGTGGTGGGGGAGGTGGGGGAGGTAGGGGAGGTGGCTTGGGCAAGTGTGGTCGTGATCGGGATGGGGGGGTGGCGGTGGGGCTGGGGGTGGTGAAGGTGGCCTGGGCTTTGTTCGCCTTTCTTGATCATTTTGTTTGTATTTGGGCTGCCTAAATTTCCGCTTTATTTTCACTCTTCGTTTGACTTTCACGCGTATCCGGTGCACCCGCTTCATGCCTGGCCTGGGAGCAAACAAACCAAACACATTCCAAACACATTAGTGGTTGATACAATGGGATCTTCCCCTGAAGCCAGAACTTTGCAGCACAAAGCTCACCTATTTGAATTCCAACATATGCTTTGGTGGTACAATGTGTTGTGTGTGTGGGCTTACAAGCATTCCTTTCCTTGAAGAGATATCTATTTATAAATAGTTCCCAAGAATTTATATATAGTTCGAGGTAATTTTATATATAGTTCGAGATGGTGCTGCAATGTCTCCAGAGGGCCTCTAACAAAGAGGCCCATGCACCTCTTAACGTATACATCTGATTGTTATCTCGTGAGCAGTGAGCAGGGGTTCCGACCCCCAAGGCCGTTTTCCCCTCACTTTGCGTATAACGTACTGTATAACTTAATTACTGTATAACGTATACCAGGACCCCCAAAGCTAGGGGTGGTGAATGGACAGCCCAAATCACCTCGTTTCGGGGCTAAAAAAATGGACACCCGGAATCCGTGGTGCTGGTACCTGGATCTTCCGGATCTTCCAACTATGCCACACGTCTGCCTAACCTGGCTCTGGTTGA